TAACTCACCAGTCACGCTAGATTGAAAGCAGCGATTTATAAACTACAAGTAGACATTATCAGAAGCTGCAAATGTAGGGGCGAGCAAGCGGCTATTTATGAAATAGTTTAGTTTTGTCGGACAACAAAAGGTAAAATAAAAAAGAATTGAAGAAAAGATCTAGAAAACTCGTAGTCCATCTTATACCCGTGACGTCGGGGTGAAAGCAATATCAGTTAACTGCAAAAAAAAGATTTGTAGCAGCTGTATTAATTTGCTAAATACTTGAGGGTTACATTGTTGGGAATCAATATTCACGACAGAGTGTTCCGTGACATGCTTTCAAGACAAGGATCCCCGGTGATTGATGCAATGAAAAGATTATCTTGACAAATACTTGATTCCACGAATAGCTCTGAAAATAAACAAAGCCACAAGACTTCATTGTTTCGAGTCGAATTCAGAGAATTTAAATTACTAATTTCGCTCCCTCCCCAAAGAAGACAGGCGAGCTATGGATATCAAAACGTTCCTTCACAATCTTCGTAAAGAAGTGTCTTGTCCAGTATGTACAAATGTATACACGGATCCAAAACACCTCCCATGTCTTCACAGTTTCTGTCTGCAATCCTTAAAAAACTGGCACAGAACAAGCCATGGCGGAGAAACAATCAGATGTCCGAAATGCCAAGTTGTAAGCAGAGTGCCAAGTTGGATGTGGAAACTGTTACAAGGAAAGCTCCGTGAGTTCTTACTGTTTCCATTGTTGCATGTTTTGGTGTGGAGAGTGCCTCATCGCACCTAACATCATCCAAAGCAATAGAGATCACCGTGTTTTAGCGCTAAAAGACTTTCAAGAAAAGGACTATGAAGATGTCTTAAAAAACGAACCTTGTACTGTTCGAAACAACGGCACGAGAAAGAAGAACTTAAATACTTTTGCAGGAACTGCGAAACAGCAGCTTGTCAAAGCTGTGTTTTCATAGATCGTGCAGGTCACGCCATGGCGCACCTAGAAGAAGAAGCGGAAAAACAAAAGTTGGAAATGAAATCCTTGATTGAAACACATAGGCTCGATTTGCAAGCAAAGATTAACACTATGAATCGACTGAATGAAGACTGCGCTAAATTGATACAACAAAGCGAATACATAAAGAGAGAAGTGCAGACGTTTGTGGACAATTTGACTGCAACTATTGAAGCGAAGAAACAAAATATCTTTACAGCAGTGGACGAGGAAACGAAGAGATTCCTCGAAGCTCTAACAACCCAAAAGACAGAGACTGAGAGTGAAATAAAGATCATCGAAGAATCGCTAGAAAAAGCTGAAACAATTCTTAGACGAAGCACAAACGTGGATGTCCTTCAGGGGAAGAAATCGTTGGAGAAAATATTTCAGGGAGCTGATGAGAGCCAGTCAAAGGACTGTTACCTGGAAAAGCTTCCTACTTTAACTTTCGCGGACAACCCAAAGTTGCGCAACACCGTAAACGCCGAAGAAATTGGGACTTTGCAAATAAAAAAACCGAACAAAAGCAAGTCAGTCAATTGCTAACGGAAAAGGAATTGAAGAGGCAATTGCTAACCGTGAAGCACACTTTACTTTGACTACAAGGACGCTAAAGGAAGACGGTGTTACAATGAACATGACCATGTAACGGTGGGGATCATGGATGAACAAGGACGAGACTGCGCCACGGACTTGCGAATAATTGACAATAAGGGTGGACGCTATCAAGTCAGCTATTCTCCCAGAAATATAGGAAGATGTAAATTGACAACAAAGGTAAACGGGGAACATGTCCGGGGCAGTCAATTTTTTGTCCTCGTAAAACCATTTCAGTTTCGACCTGTTTTATCTTTTGGAGAAGAAGGTTCGTCTCTTGGAAAGTTTAAAAAGCCTTGGGGGGTTGCAGTGAATGCCAGGGATGAATTCGCTGTAACTGATTACGAGAATTACAGAGTTCAAATTTTCAGTAGTGAAGGAAAGTTTTTAAGATCATTTGGTAAAAAGGGTCACAAAGCTGGAGAACTGGACCATCCTCGGGGAATAGCATTTCATAATAATAGCAATATTTGCGTTGTAGAGGGTTCTAATCATAGAATCCAAATTTTCAGCGAGGAGGGTGATTACGTGGGAAGCTTTGATGGGAAAGGAAACCTTGATAGTCAGCTTAATAATTCCTGTGGTTTATCTGTAGACAGTGATGGGAACATCATCGTTGCTGATGCGTATAACAAACCGATTAAGATCTTTGCTCCTGATGGAAAATTTCAAAGGAAAATAGGGGGACAGGGCACTTTTACGTTTCCTTTCAACTGTATTCAGTGTGATAAATCTTTCATAGTGTCTAACAGTAATGAATATTGTATCAAAGATTTTGACAGGAATGGAAACTTTCAGTACAAGTTTGGAAAGCGGGGAGCAGGGGACAGGGAGTTTGAGAGCCCAAGATGTTTGTTAGTGAACAATTCAGGACAACTTTTGGTTTGTGAGTCTTTAAATCATAGAATACAAGTATTTGAACTGAATGGAAAGTTTGTAGGTAAGTTTGGAACACGAGGTTTAAATTTATGAGAATTCAGTGTTCCATGGGCACTCGCTGCTCTCAGTGCTGGGCGATTTGTTGTTGCTGAACTTGGTAACCATCGTATCCAGATAATAGAGTGGTTCACGTTCTCTTTGGTAAATTATTTACTTTCAGCGGAGTTAAATTCAACCGGTCAAGATTAGTTTATGCATAAATAAATCGAGTTTTACATCGAAAATTCACTAAAAAAAACACAGGAAATACATTAAATTTGTATGATCGATAAACCAAAGGCTGTATCAACATTATGAGAGCAGCCAGGTCATTGGTCATTTAATTTTATATATAATTAGTTCAGAGAACTGATGGTTTTCAATTTTTCAGCCAAACACGAAACCTCGTCAAGAAGCATTATCTGTCACTATGAGCTCAAAAATAGCTTTTACATCTTAAGAAATAATTAGTCTTCCATTTCAAAATGAAAATTATTACCAATATTTTGTATTTACTGAATGGAGGCAAAGCCCTAAGGATTCAAAATATCTGTAAGAGCTTTGTTTATATTTCAAAAATCATCTCAGAAACCACATAATGCTTACATGTATGTGATTGAAATGAAATGCTTGGCAATTGAAGGCCTGGGTATGACACCATTTTCCAGTATAGCGTGTTTATTTGAATTTATTTAGTTTTGTTGCAAATTAGGAGTAAATTAGTTTTAAACACAAAGATACAGACCTAAATTTTTTTTCAAGTCTGATTCTCACTATTGCTTAAATAGTGCTTTACTGCGAGGATCGTCCACATATACGTTTCATAACTGCAGTTCAGATATATGTCTTCCATATATTCTTTGTGTTTGATTCATCATCTTACGGGTAAAAGCACATTATTTTCGTTTCGTTTCGTTTCTAAGAATTCGTACAGTATAGTGTACAGGCGAGAGAATAATAGGACACGTGATCCCCTACTAGTTTCACCCGCCTAAACCAATCCCCAACCCACCTATCCCACCCCAGGGGAGGACATCCATCACACAGTAATCTCGTGCGTGGAAAATTACCCCAATCGTGCAGTAGACGGGACCTCCATTTTTTCGTCCCTATCCGAGAAGACTAGTATTTAAACCATTTCTTGATGTTATAGAAAGGCAGCATATTCTTCTTAATTATTTTTAGACCTTAAGTGTTAGTCCGGGGCTCAAACCCTCGACCTCTGCACAACAGTCCAGCGCTCTATACATTGAGCTAACTGGGAGGCAATTTAAATAAAATTCATTCAAGTTCACCCCCGTAGGAGCTTTTCAGCCACAATGTAAACTAACTAAGTGCTTAAAAATCCCCACTGGCAGGAGGCAGATCAGTGGGCTACTTACAGAGCGCAGCCAAGGAGTTGAACTATGGGGCAACCGAGAATAAATCCAATGAGAGGTAGGGTGGAGGACTTCAACCCTAGTCTCCTTCGCAGCCGTTGTTTGGGCTCGTCACGCAACGCTCCCTCCCCACCAACCGGCTGCTGAAACCCAAGCCGCATTCCTTTCCCTTTGTTTAGATTTCACGGTGACTGCACGTGATAATGTGTGTTTACACCAATCACACGTCGCCTTTGGTTTCACGTTAAAACCAATTAAATTTCAATGAAGTAAGTTTTCCGCGTAAGTTCATCGGCGCTTTCTGGAGAAGCTAGTTGCCAGTCATCTCAAAAGTTTCCCAGGGATGTAGCTCCGAAGAAATTGGTAGAAAGTAGTTCAAGATGATTCATCTGTTCCTCGATTTCACTCACAAAAAAAAGGATAAAATTTACATTTTCGGTAAAAGTTCATTTGATGTTGCTGAACTAATTCGTTCTTCGCTCACTGTTGACGCGCATCGCTACGCGGAGAACAGCAAATTGTTTGTTTGTAGAGACAAATGCTACCAGCTTTAAGAAGGCATCGGATGAACTGGAAGAAATCAAGAATAAAATAGAAGAGATCTACAATACAAGAGAAAAACCCAGGGCAAAGAGACTGATGCGAACGGACGAGGAGAATAATGTCGGTGAACAAGAGCTCTTTGACAGGACTGTGAACTCGATAACACCTATCCTTGGGTTTCACCCACGTGACCAATACCTTAGCAACGGTTAATATCCGCCATCTTGGTGTCCCTCGAGCGTAAACAAACCGTATCTAACGAAGAGTTCATGTGAGAAAGAAGGGATGGTTTTATGAATTATTGTTGGCTGTTCGAGCAAAAGTGGAAAGCATAAAGACTAAGGATTTTTTCGTATAATAATTTAATAATTTTATTATCTCTATAGCGCAAAATTCATTATATATATGATCTAATGCGCTATACCTAAGATCATCACAAATCAAGGGGAAGAACAGGAGGAACTAGAAGTTGTTGTATGGTTCGAGGCTTGCGGCTGTTGTAGATCCTCGATTTTTTGGTCGAGCTTTTCTTTGAGCTTCTTAGCCGATGAGAAATCGATGTCTTTAGCCCTCGCATACGGCACTTCATTGACCTATGTCGGCAAAATCCATGAGCATTTTACCTGAGTGCAAGTAAGCTTGGGGTGTCACGAAAACTCACACCCCGAAAACTCAGACCTCAGACCTCAGACCCCGAAAACTCAGACTCCTCGAAAATTCAAGAGATAAACTCGACTCATGATCACTCCTGGTAATCCCGCGTGTATTTTGACCTTTTGGGTCTTGATCCAACTGAAGCAGCAAAAGCAAGGCCGCAAGTTGCACGTTTCGCAAAATCGTCCGATGGTTGAGTATTAAAACATTTTAGAGTGACACAAGACTTCATTTAGCTTAGATTTACCTCCATTTTTCCCGTTAATTTTGAACTTTTCATTCACAGTTAACGGGATCAAATGCGCTCGCTCCAACATCAAAGTATTAAAATGTGGCGTGATTTTGACGAGCCGAAAGGGACGTTTGTTTACCTTTTTGTACTTCGTTGCACAGATCCTTGTTGTCGCTCTGTTAAAATTCTTAAATATTTCGCGATAATAATGGATACAAACAGAGACTCGGCCCACCAGTCCCAAAACGAAGACAATTTTGCGACCCTTGGGCTAGAGTTCTTAAATGAGGCAGAAAGAGAAAAACAACGCGAAAGAAGACTCGGCATCAGCGCCGTCACGATTCGCTTCACTGAAGAATCACTCTTGATATTGTTGTCCGTCTTTCGCGTCGGATTTGTTGCATTGTTCCACCGGTTATATTATAAAAAAAATTGGTTCATGCTTTATGCTATGCACTATCGAATTATGGAGCACTTCGAAAGCTTGGAGAACACTTCGAGGGACCTGAGTTTTCGGTGTCTGAGTTTTCGTGACACCCAGCGAGCTTGCCATGAATTCTAGTAGTTGCCTCAAACATAAATAAAACACTTGCGATATGTGAGCATGACTC